AACCAAATATCATCCACACTATATACTACATAAGGTACAGGACAATTGAAGCATGTTAAAAGTACCCTTTCCTAGTTTCCAGGCGAGTACACAAATTTGCCTTGTTTTATCTTCCATTATTTATCTCAATGGACATATTTATTTATGTCAACTGTTATTTCTTATTTATTTATTTATTTATTTAAAGGAAGATAAAATAAGGCAAATTTAGGGGGTAAAGAGAATTGAAAATTTGTGTTCAAAAATGAGCATTTTTGCCTTGCATTGGGATTCATGTCCTGTCTGTATCAAATAATCTCTCAGGTGACTTATCTCTCTCTCCTTTTCGCCCTCCCCTCATGGTCAGAGTTGACTCAAATGGGGTTTCCTGACCAAATTTATGTCTTGGAGAATCAAACTTTGGCAACAGACTACTATTACTTTTTTTACACTTGGTTATAAGTCCATAAATATTAATGTAAAGTTAAATATCAATATTATTTACTTTAAATTTCAGCATTAAACTAAAAAGCTATAATTGTGTGAGTCCATTACAATGCACAAACCCGTCACAGGTGAAACTTGAGCAAATACTTAATTGGAAATGCAAATGAAGATTTGAATGGCATTTATTTGGTACAAGCAATTACAGAAAATTTGTCCCATAAAATTAATTAAGTGAAGCTGTTATTGATACAACTAGTTATTGTGCACATGGATTCACACAGAACGCCTGGGCTCTATAAGGGCAGCACAAAGGTCCATGTTGCTGATGACAGATTCACATTTCCACGTGGGCCAGCCTTGTACAAGAGGACTCAGGTTTGCTTCCCAACACAGGTACTCACCAAACTGCAGATGATTTCTTCTTAGTTATTAGAAAACAACAATAAATACATGCTTTTCCTTTTTTTCATATTAAGTCACTAAAACTAATTTTCAGATTGGCTTCCTAAATTGGCCCATTAGATAATTCTAAGAGGTTAAATGTATGGTTGAATAATAACAAATGATCTGCAGGTGATTTGGGCCTGATTTTTAGGACAGAATTAGGATCACTTAGTGTTAAATAAACCAATTGAATCACCTAATTATTAAGAGATAATGTCTACTGCCCAAAATGTTTTAAAACTTTACAATGTGCTTCCTGCTTTCCAATGCATATTTACTATGCTAGTGATTAAAAGATTAGAAGAGCAATGTAAAAATGAGTAAATATCAGAAGTTTTCATATAATAATGCATTCCAACCTCAATTTTTCACTGTTTTTAATCGTCATTTAAAAGTTTTGCATATCTATATAATCATTTTTGAAAAATAACTATTTTTTTTTCAAAAGTTGAAGAGAAATAAAATATATAAAAGGATAGCTTGGGCCGGCCCGGTGGCGCACTGCTACAGTGCGTGGCTTGGGAGTGTGGTGGCACTCCCGCCGAGGGTTCGGATCCCACATACAGACCGGTTCCC